GGCATGCCTCAGCCTCCCGGGCTAGGTCTCCCCTCCTCACTCATGCCCTTGGGACTTCTCTATGTCATGATTTTAAACACCATCTATAAACTGACTCCCCCCACCCCCAAACGCACATCTTTGCCCACATCTCTTGAAGACCCAGAACACCACCTTACTCTGCTCCCCAGAAAGCCCCCTTCAGAGGCCCCCGACACCCCACTTAACATCTCCAAACCTCAATACCGCTCACATTTCCCTGTGCCCATCAGCTGCAGCTCAGGCCAGAAACAGACTCATTCTCACCTCCACTTTTCACCCATGTGTATATTTAGTGAGCAAATCCTATTAGCCCTGCCTTCAAAATACACAGAGACCCTAGGAGACCTGCCATAGACTCAGTTACTGGAATGAACCAAACCCCCATCTCTGGCCTAGGTTACTGCAGAAGCCCCTCCCCTCCTAGTCTCCGTTATAGGTCAGCATGGGCCACGTCCCTACTCAGGGCAGGCTTCTCAGAATATGGGCCAAAGTCCTTACCTACCAAGGATCCACCCCGCTTGTCTCGCTCAGCCCTTCGACCTTGAGTCTGAGATGACCACCCTTCATGCCGGCCCCTCTGTGTGCATCTCTCTAGCTCTGGTCACTTCCTAAGTGCTATTCAGTTACTCCATTTGTTTGTACTTACCCTAATCTCCCTCCCTAAGACACAAAGTCGTGGGGCTGCAGCTTTGCTGCCCTCTTCCCTAACAGGCCGCCACCATGTGAGGACTCAGTAAGAGGCTGCCCAGTAACCGGGGGAGTTAACACTGTGGACCGGGATACACTTGGCTGAGCGTGCAGGACTCACAGCCTCACCACGGTGTTTGAGACCCTGCCCTGAGATCTGGGTCAAGTTAATGTCTCCACGCCCATTTCTCACGCAAGGAAAATGGGGACAACATCTCAGATTTCTTGCACAATTTAAATGGGTTAACGCACATCAAACTCGCGGGCACACTGAGAGCCTTCCTCAGGACAGATTCCTGACGCAGAAGCTTTCTCCCTGCTCGACAGAGCTCTCAGTCCCCCACTCCCTGCAGCATCCTGTCCCACCTGTGCCGGCGCCTCCTAAGGGACTCACCTGGCCTCTGGCAAAGCCCTCAAAGCCGTCATACACAGCGAGCATCCTGTGCCCGGAGGAGATGCCCACACGCACAGCCGAGCGCACGGCCGCATTCATCCCGGCCGCCGGCGCGCCCACGTTGATGACGCCCACATTGCAGCCGCTCTGCAAGACAGGGGGCATGTGGCACCTGTCACAGGTGTGTCCCCACTCCTACTCCATGTACACTCAGGAAGCGGCCCACCTGCCATCAGAGACAGCCCGGGCAGGAAGGCGGCGGGGGGGCGGGACAGGCAGTATCCCCACTTACCTTTTGGATCTCAGAGTCTGGCAGCTTGATGGCAAGCAGCTTGTAGGTTTTGAGGTTTCCCTCAAAGCTCCTGGAAGAAAGAGCGTGGTTGGACCAGGTGTAGAACGTGGGTGGCACAGGAGGGAGCTCACCCAGGGAGCCGGAGCGCACCGTCAGCAAATGGCCCCACTCCTCAGGGGAGGGGAACCGAGTGCTACCCTGAGTCCCGCCAGCCCTCATGGGGACACAGTGCCACGTGTTTCCAGTTTCCTGGACACACAGTGCCAGTGGGCTAGGGAACCACAGCGCCCAATACGCTCAGGTTCCCGACCCAACACACTAGACACATGTCACTTATCTTAATGTTGTTGGGTCCTGACACCCACCTCCCAGCCCCGCCCACCCCAGAGACAAACAAACCATTTCCCCCTCACTGTCACCCAGGCCCACGACCTGCAGACTTCTCACAGACACGGGACAAGCACAGCCTTGCGGGCCTTCTGAGCAGCCAGGCTGCCAGCACATGTGCCCATGACACGGTCTCCTTCAGAACAGTCACCTTCCCCGCAGCTGCACGGCGTCCTTGAACCTCCTCTCATCCATCGCCTTCTGTACGTCCTGGGTCTTGGAGGGGATGACGAGAGGAAGAAGGCAGTGTCAGGGTCAGTGGTGCATCCTCACACTCCAGAGGATAGGCGGACCAACTGGTGCCTGCACCCCGTCCCCCCACACCCGACCCTCCATGCTGGCAGCCTGGGGTCGGCGCATCTACACCAGGCTGTAGCCAGCCTGTCACTGCCAGGCTCAGGCCACTTCATAGAAAAGAACGAGTTGGCCTGGCCGGTGGCCAGGACCGGGGTGGGGAGGGCAGGTCCTGAGGGCATAGGGGCTTTGCTCCAGGAGAGCAGAGCACGTCTCAGACAAGGCTCTGAGGAGTCTTGTTTGATTCTGAGGAGGAAAAAGTAACCAGGACAGCCCGCCCCGGGAGCTGGGGGACCCGGGTGCCGTCGCGGCAGGTGGAGCCCAGCAGGCGCCCGGCCTCTACCCCTGAAAGCTAGTCATGCCTCCAAAGCTTGGTTGCCTCGTCTGTACGCTAAGGAAAGCACCCCCACTTCCCATGTCATCCAGACCCTGAGGGAGATGCCTGGCGAACAGCAGGGGCTCAGGCAAGGCTCACTGTGGCTTTTGTGAACCGTCTGGAGGACGAGCCATCACGTACGGTCATTTGGAGGACAAGCCAGGCTGTGCCTCCAAAGGAGCAGACACTGGACACAAGAAATAGGCTCAGAACGGGCTGCTGCTCATAGTTCAACGTCCTGACCCTTTGCAGCCGTCACCATACGCGCACACACACAGGCTATTTCCCTCCCACAAGCTTTCAGAAATGATGTATCTAAGGTCCTGTCCCATAAGGCCTGTGACTTAATCACCTGTCTATATATGTTATAAAATGCATATACCATATTTCCCCATGTATAAGATGCACCCTTTTCGGAAAAATTTGGGGTCTAAAAACTAGGTGCGTCTTATACAGTGGTTGTATGAGCACAAAAACAAGCGCGGAAAAAGCGGGAAATGAAAGTAAAAAAAAATCTACAACCACTGTATAAGACGCACCCAGTTTTTAGACCCCAAATTTTTTTAAAAAAAGGGTACGTCTTATACATGGGGAAATACGGTACTTCAGAGCCACTGGAAAGACCAAGTGAGACGACAGTGAAAAAGAGACTTTGAGAAATAACAGATAAGAACAACTTCTAATGCAAGTCCCTGAAGTGGGAAATTATAACCGGGGGCCTGGAAGAGGCAGGTGCATGTCAAGATGTCACCTGAATTAGCCATGCCAGTGTCACATCACAGATTTGAGCGTCCTTGGGGACAGGATGGAAGGAGAGGCTGAAATCTGAGAGGCCAAGGACATCCTGGCCTGCCCCACAGACTCCTGGGAGCCCTTTTCCTGCATTTCATCTTTGACTTGTTGACAGAAACCTTCACGGGTCCTTCCCGCATAAGCCATTCTCACAGACTGGGCTCCCTTTCAGGGGATGGTTATACTAAGCGTCACCGAATCATGGCAGGGCCCAGGTGTTTGGGAGCCTGCTGCTGCACCCGCGAGGCGGTGCCTTATGTCTGGGGAAGGCCGTTTAACTCCCTGCGCCTCTCGCCAGCACCAGACATGGGGACAAAGGCACCTGCTCTCACCATCTGCACGCACTCCACCAGGGGCAGGCGCACCGCCTGGTTCCCGCTCAGCGACACCACGCAGGCCGGGGTCTCGGGGGTGGCCTGCAGAAGGGCAACCACGGCCTCCACCCCCATGCGGCTGGCCTGCAAATGACATTCACAAGGTCAGAGACAGCTCACCGCCCAGCCAGGGTGGCACTCCCACCGGAGACCCCGCGATGCCCC